ATCCCAAATGTTGAGTTGTACCAGAAAATTAATAGAGGGAAAATCTTCCAAAGGAGGGGACACTAGTTCTGGTTCCCTTAATATGCAGGGGATTCCCTGCACTACCTCTTTTGGCTATGGAACAGGAAGTGAAGGGAAATCTCCACAATGGGACACAGATGGCAAAAATAAAAAAAACTGACGGGTTACAACCCTACCGTACTCTATCCAAAATGAAAAATAGTTTTGCCTGTAGTTTCAGTTGATGTAATATATTACTCTTGCATTCAGGTTTAGCTATGCTACTTCTGTAAATAGCATAGCTCCCCACTGTCCCTAATTTGCAGGGACTGTCCTTGTTTTGAAAACAAAGTCCCTCCTTTCCTCCTCCCCCCTCTTATGCCCCATATTTTGCACTGATGTATATACCTGTATAAAAATGCACTATTATCTATCTATTAAAAAAATGTTTTTTTTTCTTCTGTTTTGAACTGTATTGTAAATACTTACCATATTTTTCCTTTCCTGGTGCCAATCCATGGCAGCATACTACCACATACACTATATGATCAAAAGTTTGTGGTCACCTGATAATCTCTACTCATACTATATGGCAAATTACTGTGTGTGTGACATCCCCTCCTAATTATTGAGTGCAGGTGTTTCCAAAGAAGGTTCTTGTTAATGTTACAGCACACAAAGAAATATTAAACAACTGTGCACCAGGAATGTTTTTTACAGTTATAAATCTTTCTTCCAATTTCTAAATTGTTACATTTGTAAATTTCAAGATCAAGTTTAAACACTTGCCTACTGAACACTTATACCCCCTTCATGCCCAGCCCAATTTTCAGCTTTCAGCACTGTCATACTTTGACTCACAATTACTTAGTCAGGCAATACTGTACCCATATTAAATGTTTGTCCTTTTTTTCACACAAATAGAGCTTTCTTTTGGTGGTATTAACTCAGCACTGGTTTTTTTTTGTGCTATAAATTAAAAAAAATAAAAACATTTAAAAAAAAACCACATTTTTCTTCATTTCTGTTTTTTTATTTTTTTTTTTTTTTTGCAAATAAGTAATTTTTCTTCATAAATTTTGGACAAAATTTATACCGCTACATTTCTTTGGTAAAAATAGCCTAAATCTGTCTACATTATTTGGTCTGTGTTATAGAGTCTACAAGCTACCAATCATTGAAAATTGATTACACCTGATGTACTGACGGCCTATCTCATTTCTTGAGACACTAACAAGCCAGGACAGTACAAATACCCCCCAAATTACCCATTTTTGGACAGTCCAAGATATTTAGTAAGAGGCACAGTGAGTGAAGTTGTAATGTTTTCTCACAATTCTATTGAAAAGGAAGTATATTATTTTTTTTGTTCCACAAAATTGTCATAGCAACAGGTTATTTCTCTCACATGGCATATGCATACGTGCAACTACACCTCAAAAACACATTCTGCTACTCCTCCTGAGTATGGGGATACCACATGTGTGAGACTTTTTCACAGCCTAGCCACATAGAGAGGCCCAACATGCAAGGAGCACCATCAGGTGTTCTAGGGGTATAAATGAACATTTCCTGACTACCTATTACACTTTTGAAGGCCCTGGAGCACCAGGGCAATGGAATTACCTACAAAATGACCCAATTTTGAGAAGCAAAAACACCCCAACATATATTCTATGAGGAATAATGAGTCTTTTGAACATGTCATTTTTTTCAGCAAGTTTTCGGAAAATGTGGAAAGAAAATAAAAACTTATTTTTTTTTTGCACATTTATAACATATTTCCACCATATAGGACATACATACCAAAAATTACATCCCAAAATACATTCTGCTACTCCTCCTAAGTATGGGGATACCACGTGTGTAAGACTTTTCCACAGCCTGGCCACATAGAAAGGCCCAACATCCAAGTAGCACCTTTAAGCATTCTAGGGGCAAAAATTACACATCTAATTTCCTGACAACCTATCACATTTCTGAAGGCCCTGAAACAACAGGAAAGTGGAAACAAACACAAACCCCATTTTGGAAAGCAAGCACTACAATGTATTTTCTAAAAGGCACAATGAGTCTTTTGAACATTTAATTTTTTTCCACAAGTTTTCAGAAAATGTAGAAAGAAAATTAAAATTTATTTTTTTAACACAAAGTTGTCAATCTATAAGATATTTCTAACAAACAGCATGGAAAAACCAAGAATGACACCCCAAAATACATTCTGCTACTCCTCCTTACTATGGGGATACCAAATGTGTAAGACCTTTTCAATATCTGTACAGATTATGTGTCCAGCATTGCAACAAGTGTAACACAAAAATCAACAAACACTGTATAGAAATCAATGTAAACAAAAGATTACCTGTGGTTTGAGGAGAACATTGGTCAAGGTCAGTACAGGCAGCAGGCTAACATCCAAGCAGCAGGCAAGAACAAGTTCCATTAAAAGTCCTGGGTCAGTACAGGCAGCAGGCAGAGATATAGTCAACACAGCCAAAGCATTGGTTAAGGCAGCAGGCAGGAACATGGTCCATAAAATGTCCTGGGTCATTACAGGTAGCAGGCAGAGATATGGCCAGCACAGCCAAAGTTTTTGTCCAGGCAGCAAGCAGGAACATCAGGCTTAGGGTCTCGGACAGTTAGGACTGGGGCACAGGGTAGAGGCTTTGTCCCACCCAATCTCTTGTCTCTTCCGGACAAACAGACCCTGTTCCAGGAATTACAAAACCCAGAGAAAACCAAAACGTGTTTTTTTCTACTCAGAACTCTACTCTGAAGCCCCTCACATATGTGAGACCCCTGCGTTATCTTAAATCCTACTTTATTCAGTGGCAGGACAAAAGATCAATCCAAGGGGCAGGCAAAAAACATGGTCGATTTGCAGGCAGAGGTCAGTCCAGGAAGAAGGCATAAATGTGGTTGATAATCCAGTTGGCAGGCAGAGGCACAGATGATAAACAGGCCAGGGTCAATTCAGGTGGAAGGCAGAAACGCGGTGGATAACCAATGCAAACGGCAGGCAGAGGCATAGTCGATAAAAAGGCCAGGGTCAGTTAAAGTAGAAGGCAGTTGCATGGTTGGTTGAGGCAGCAGGCAAATGATCAGTAGAGATATTGAAAATGGGGAAATGGCAGGCTGTTATATATGGGCTAATATTTTAGTGATGTGTGAAAATATCAGAAGCAGTCTCCAATGCACAGGAGGCCTGGTTGGGAGGAACACTGGGGACAATGAAAGCTTGTGTCTTTTCTAAGTCCTCCTCTACTGCATTCCTGACATCTCTTTTGGTGTCTTTGGCCTGCTTCTGTTGGTTGAACACTCTCAGGGAAGTGGCGCTCGTGAAGTCTGCTCACAGAATAAGAATGAATGCTTTCTGGGGGGGATAATTTGCTGGTAGATAAGGGACGTGACGATTTCTTCTATAAATTTGAGGTAGGCGATGGGTCTTTCTGTGGATTTGCTGTAGGTGAGATAAGCATTTATAAATAGCCAAACGAATAAGATAGATTGCAACTTTTTTATACCAGAAATTGGACCTTCTTGTTGCTAGATAGGGCTGCAACATATGATCATTGAGATCTACCCGCTCCACCGAGTTGTCATTGTAGATGGTGGACAGGATGTAAACGTCTCTCTTATCCTTTCACTTCAGGGCCAACACTTCGTTGTTTCTTAGGCTTGCTGATACCCCTTTGTAGCCTAGTGTTCAGTAGAGATTGTGGGAAGGCCTTTGTGTTTTTTCCGGAGATACCGCAAGCCAAGGTTTTCTCACGGTACAGGTGTCGGAAAAGGGGCAGACTGGTATAGAAATTGTCCAGGTAAATATGATAGCCTTTTGGAAAAGTGGATAAGCCAGGTCCCAGTTTTTTCCACTTGTTCCATACAAATATCCAGTTGCTCTTTCACAAAGCTTTTAGAGCTTTGCTCCATATCTGGCCCTTTTACTTGGAATATATTGCTTAATTCCTAGCTGGCCAGTGCAGTGGACAAGGGATTCATCTACACATACAATTTTATCATAACGTTCAGCAAATCTTTGAAAAAAAATATTAAGAAGTGGGCAAATTTTGTATAATTTGTCATAGTTTGGATGATCTCAGGGAGGGCACTGGGTATTGACACTGGAACGAAGGAATCGCATGATCATCTCATTGCGTGACCTGGCTATTACAACAGAATAAATGGGTATGTGGTGGATTGGGTGTGTGGACCAGTAAGTATTTTCTTCATTTTTTTTTGTAAGCCCCATGTTAAGGGTGAAGCCTACAAATAGCTTACATTCCTCCAATGTAAGAGGTCTCCATTCAAATGGATGGGCATAGGATGAACTGGGGTTGTTAGTAATGAATTGTTGGGCAAAAAGGTTTGTCTGGTCCACAATAAAATGAAGTAAACTGTCGGGCAAAAATAAATTTAAAAAAATCAATTTCGGAAAAGTTTTCAGTATTGGCCTGCACATCTGACTGTGTGGTGAAAGGGGGAATGCTTGCTGATCCTGAGTTGGAGGGCAGCCATAATGGGTTGGCAAGAGCATCTTGGAGGTATGTTTCGGCCCTGATTCTTGGGGGTAGATGGGATATTCCAGTGCTGGTACTGGGTCTTTCATTCATGGGTCTAGCACCATTGACATTTACCGATTGATCAGTGGGGTGTATGGCACTGCTGGTAGCTGCCTGGTTTTCAGAGAGCCATATTCTTTTAGGAGGGACCCTTTCATCCTCTGATTCAGTCACTGATCCACTAATTTCGATTAGTTCATACACTGAATGAGAATCGGACAGTGAGAGCTCCCCGCTGCTCTCATCCGTCATATGTAGGATTTTGAACGTCTCCTCACTAGTGTAATTTTTTTTTTTACATGGCTGGCTCTGGGACAGGTAGACTGCTGGTGGTGGCTGTAGGACGGGTACCCTAGTGATGGTCGCTGTGTGATGGTACTCTGCTGATGGTGACTGTGTAACGGTACTCTGCTGATGGTGGCACTGATGGATGACAGGTACACTGAGGGGCAACAGGTACACTGATGGGCACTGATGGGTGACAGGTGCACTGCTTGGCACTGATGGATGACAAGTGCACTGCTGATGGGCACTGATGGGTGAAAGGGGCACTGCTGATGGGCACTGATGGGCGACAGGTACACTGATGGGCGGCAGGTACATTGATGGGCACTGATGGGCGATAGGTGCATTGCTGATGGACACTGATGGGCAACAGGCATACTGACTTGTGAAATGTACACTGATGGGCACTGATGGGTGACAGGTGCACTGCTAAAGGGCACTGATGGGTGACAGTACACTGATGGGTAACAGGTACACTGATGGGCAACAGGTGCACTGCTGATGGGCACTGATTGGCGATAGGTCCACTGATGGGTGACAAGTACACTGAGAGGTGACAGGTACACTGATGGGCAACAGGTACACTGATGGACCACAGATGCACTGATGGGCGACAGGTACACTGATGGGTGACAGGTGCACTGATGGCCACTAGTAACACTGATGGGCATTAAGACAGGGGCTGTGATCTGTGTATGCGCTGTGTACAGAACTGTAACTCACTGTTAGAAGATACCTCTCCTCACACAAGATCTGTGTATGAGGATAGGAAGCTGGTAACAATAAGTTACCGCTCTGTCTTCTCATTTGTGACCGGCTGTGATTGGACACAGTCGGTCACGTGGTAAAGGGCCACAGCCAATGGCTCTTTACCTCGTTTGATGATGGGCTGTGCCCAAGGGACACAGTTCACCAGCGATTGCCACGTGGCATGCACGGCTAGAGTGGGAGGACATCATATGACATCCTCCCAGAACGAGAGAGCCTCTGCCCATCCATCATTTCCTTATATGGTGGAAGGGAGGCAGATAAAAGAATAGAACTGGTAAAAAATTGCCTATGGATTTAATCATTTTTGTGTATTAATTCTCCATGTAAGAGGGGTGTGTTATTTGCCTACATAGATTTTGCTAATAAGTGTCCTTCTTTTCAATCTGAGAAATCTGGGCGGAATGGAATAGGTAGCTGCAGCACTATAAAGGCTAATATAACCAGCATAGTTAGCAAGCATCTCAAATAGTATCTTGTGGATGGAGCTGTATCTAGTTCATTAGCTACATTTATTGTATTAGCTACTTTAAAAAAGCTGAGAAATAACATTAGAAATAAAAAACTCTTGTACTATATATGTACTAAATTCATCCTTCAGTTCCATTATATATGCATGCACTCACTTACTGATGCTTTGTTACATTTTTAAGCAGCAGTATTAAAGAAATCTGCCTTATTTGAAATTCATGTTAACAGTATGTCATTCACAAAATATTTTAACATATCTTCTGCTTCTACTTTTAAGTGCATTTTCTTTTGAGCTATACTGGGAATATGTCTGTGCTTAGTATTCCACACAATTCCTCACAATAGCTGTGACTCATCACCGAGGAATCCCAAGGGGATCACAGGTTATCTACCAGTCTTTCATTGCATGTGCCATATATGAGATCTTCTTTTAATGGATCCCGTAAATGCAATACTACCTCTAAAAGACCAAATGTCCTAATATGATCATTCCTTTTCCTACTCCAACATAATAATACCTGTTCTTTTTAAGATTGTATGCATGCAGTATATTTGAAAGGAAATGCACTGAATCAAGGATAGCATTCTGATGAATATGTTTATTAAGGAAAGAGCTCCAGCATATAGTATGGTCAAAAATTATGGAAATATTAATTAACACCTTTACCTCTGAACTGTTTTACCCCCTTTATGACCAGAGCATTTTTTGCTTTTTAGTGCTGCGCTACTTTAACTGGCATTACACGGTCATGCAACATTGTACCCAAATGAAATTTATGCCATTTTTTTTCACACAAATGGAGGTGGTATTTGATCACCACTAGGTTTTTTATTTTTTATTATATAAATGAAAAATACAAAATTTGCGGAAAAAAATCAGTATTTTCTACTATCTGTTGTAAAACATATCCAATAAAAAATAAAAAAAAATTAATATCTACATAAATGTAGGCCAAAATGTATTCTGCTACATGTCTTTGGTAATATAAAAATCTCAATAAGTGTATTAATTGGTTTGTGTGAAAGTTATAGCGTCTACAAACTATGGTGTATATACTAGAATTTACACAACTATGGCGCTATACTGGTAAAAACGGTGATCAGCGACTTAAAGTGAGACTGTGATGGTGTGGCAGGCAATCTGGTGCTATGCTGGGAAGTATACTATCTGACTGACACTAACATCAATAGTGACACTAATATTGTGATCAGATATAATACTGTACACTCACTGTACTAATGACACTGGCTGGGAAAGGGGTTAACATCTACATGTAATCAAGGAGTCAATTGTGTGCCTAACAATGTGTAATGTGTGCTGCCTTTTCTTTACTGTATGGCTGTTTTTTCTCCCCTGCAGGATGAAGAAACAGCCAGATCACATTCCCTGTACACAGAGGTCTGTGTTCATTGGACCATATTACAGTCTTCCATTGATCGATAGTCCACGGTTTATGGGTGTTGCACCACTCTCTACTTTTCTGAGCATTAATATCAGTCACTAGTGGTTTGGCAATTGCAGCTTGCCCATGAATGTTTTGCTTATGGAGTTCCCTCCACACATTTTTGTGGGAATGGGCATTGGAAGACTGAGATTGCAGTCCCTTTTGCAGCAGTTGTTTTTTTATTACGGGTCACAATTCCTGCACAATGTCCTTTTTGTCTCTTTCGGTCAGTTGACAAGTTGACCGCGCTTATGTTTATCAGACATCATCTGCCGTCATAACCTTTGATACTGTACCTCCTGACCTAGCAAATAAATTGCCAACTTCAGTCACAGAGGCACCAGCTAAGCGGCACCAACAATTTGCTGTCTTTGAAGCTCAGTAAGCTCTGAGACTACTCCATATTACTAGCAGCGCACGCTGTGAATGAGGAAAGTGAGGCTTCCCACCTACTAGCTAGGAAGCACACAGCAGAAGCAAAAGAATGTTATATCACTTTTGATTTCAACGCGAAACATGTCGACACCCAGGGGCAGACTGACAACTCATGGGGCCCCTGGGCAATAGGGGATCATGGGGCCCCTGTGTCCTTGCCCAAACTCAAAAAAGCCTATGAAAAAGGTACCAGGGGCATCTCATGGGGCCCCCTACTGACCCCGGCCCTCGGGCAGTGCCTGAGTTTCCAAGTGGTCAGTCCGCCCCTGTCGACACACCCCTTGTATATCATAATTACTTTTCTTTTACATTTCTTCAGTTACTTCCTGGTTTCCTTCCTTAGGCAAATGATGCCATACATCCCAGGAGTCTTCAGGAGAGGAAGAGGGCTTTTTCCAGCTAAGCACATCCTCCTGCCTGCATGCCTGGGCTTAGGGCAGATGGAAACAAAAAACAACTCCTGCACTCTATGACTCAGAACAAGGGTGTATAGATGGACCCAGAACTTGAAGAAGTTCACCACCAAAGCATCAAATGTTGTGCGCTCTAAACAAGGCCGGTGTTGCCTGACCAATACTGTAAAGCAAAACAAAAAGAAAGCGCACCAACCTTGCGCATTACCTCAGTAAAATGTGATTTTACTGAATTTGAAAATAAACTCACAAACAGAGAAGTAAAAACAAGCATGTAAAGTCCTTAGCGAGACTTAAACAGTCAGAGACCAGCGTGATTCTAACCACGAGGGAAGATCCTCAAAGTCAGGCTAACGCGTTTCGAAGGGAGTCCCTGAGTTCTGAGGAAAAAGGGACTTCCTTCAAAATGCGTCAGCCTGACTCTGAGAATCTTCCCTCGTGGTTAGACTCGCACTGGTCTCTGACTTTTTAAGTCTCACTAAGGACTTTACATGCTTGTTTTACTTCTCTATTTTGTGAGTATATTTTCAAATTCAATAAAATCACATTTTACTGAGGTAATGCACAAGGTTGGTGCTCTTTCTTTTTGTTTCGCTTTACAGTTTAGGGCAGATGGATTCCAGGAAGTAAAGGTACATGAATCATCTGCCCTTACTCAAGAAGTGCTGGGAGCGTTTTCCAAAGTGGTTTCTCAACCAAATAAAGCATGAAGACATGGATGGATGGTTGAGTTTTCTCTGAATATGAAAAATGAATCAACCATTTCAATAACCGGACACTTTTACTCCCTCCTTGCCCAGGCCAATTTTCAGATTTCAGCATGGTCACACTTTGAATGACAAATTACTTTTTAGCATTTTTTGAGACAGAACTTTCTTTTGTTGGTATTTAATCACAACTAGGTTTTTTCTATTTTTTGCTATATAAATGAAAAAATACTGAACATTTTGAAAAAAAAAAAAAAACACATCTTTCTTAGTTTCTTTTATACACTTTTGCAAATAGATAATCTTTCTTTAGAAATTTAGGCCAAAAGTTTAATCTGCTACATTTCTTGGGTAAACATAAACAACTCAGTGTACTTTATTTAAGTTAGTCTGTGAGAAAGTGATATAGTCTACAAACTATAGTACATATATTTAAAAATTGATCAGTCATGTACTGAATGAATGCCTGTCTCATTTCTTGAGGCCCTAAAATGCCAGGACAGTACAAATACCCCCATATGACTCCTTTTTGGAAAGTAGACTCCTAAAGGTATTTAGTAAGAGGCATGGTGAACTTTTTGAAGTTGTAATTTTTTTCCAAAGGCTCTTTGGAAAATAAAGAAATTAAACAATTATTTTTTAACAAAATTGTCATTTTAACAATCTATTTCTCACACACATTGTAGGCATACTTGTAATTACACCCCAAAACACATTGTGCTTCCCCTCCTGGTATAGCACACATGTGAGACTTTTTCCCAGCCTAGATGCATAGAAGGGTCCAAAAATCCTAGGGGCAACTTTGGGCTTTGAAATAAATTATGAATCTAATTTTCAGACTACCTATCACATTTTTTAAATGCCTTCTTGCTTGTGTAATTTTTTTTGGGGGGGACATGGCTGTCTCTGATGACACCATACTGCTGTAACGGTGACACTGGAGTAGATGTGGCTGAATCACGGCACAGATGATGGCTGCACTGATGTGCTTGATTAGGAAACTGATGAGGCTACACTGGCATGACTGATCAGGACACTTATGAGGTTGCATTGGTGTGACTGTACTGGCGTGGCTGATCAGGTCACTGATGAGGCTGCACTGGCATTGCTGCATTGGCATGGCTGATCAGGACACTGATGAGGCTGCACTGTCATGGCTGCATTGGCGTGGCTGATCAGGGCTCTGATGAGGCTGCACTGGTGTAAATCACTGGTGGCTGATCAGGGATCTGATGTGGCTCCACTGTGTGTTTACATACTGTGTAAAAATCACAGTATATGAACACACACTGTGATCCTGCACAGATCAGCTCTCCTTTCCTCACACACAGTCTCTGAAAAGGAGAAAAGGAGAACCAATCGCCGGCAAACGAATTGTCTTAGTTTGCAATGTGATAGCCGTGATTGGACACAGCTGATCACATGGTAAAGGGCCTGCTGTGTCTGTAGGGCATAGCAATCATGGAGATCACCGGGTTCGTGCTGCTGGGGGTGCGCGGGAAAGCGCATTCTGGGAGAATGTCATATGACGCCGTCCCAGAATTGGACAACTGCGCTGTAGCCATCATTTGGCTATAGCGCGGATGGTACCCCACATCGGACAGATAACTGTTCTCAGCACTTTCGCTTAAGTGTGGTTAAGGCAAACAGAACACATAGGCCTCACGCACTCTGGATGTTTGGCCATCTCTCCTAGACACTTCTTCTCCTGGCAGCAGTATTTTATTAGAAAAAAAACACCCGACACTTGTAAAAGCATCTAACACATTTAGGTACATTTAAGAGCCTCAAGCTCTTGGGTGTTAGCTAATTTCATTGGCCAGAATAATAGTCTATTCTGGCCACTGAACTGAATTAATCCTCAAACACTAAAAGTGCTTAGCGATAACATGCATTTACACACGTTTAGGTGTATCATTCGCTTTTTCAGCCAAAATGCTACTGCTCCTGGATGGTCTCTAAAAGCCACTGCCTCTAGACTCCTCTAAAACATCTATGCATGCATGAATGCATAGGCTAACAGGCAATGGTGTTTAGAGGTAGAAAAAAAAAACACCAAACATCCCTAACATCTAGTGTGCATGTCGCCATAGAGTAATCTTTTGCCCGGAGCCCAAAGATTGCAGTTTGTGAAGCCTGCTCAACAAAATTCACAAAAACCAAAAAGGAAACTTAACTTTTACTGGAATTAGTACAATACAAATTCCTACACTTGTTTGCTATGTAAGACAGCACTGACATATAATATGACTCAGTTTCCCATAGGAGTGCATCTTCATTAATGATTTAGGTAAGAATGAAAATAAAGAAGCAATATGATATAAAGCTTACACTATAGGAAGCATCATCATATTCACAGAAATGCATGTGGTATTGTTAAAGGGTAAAAGAAGAACAGGAAAAGGAAGTTCTGAAACAAGATTCCAAACAATGTAACAATAATGGTAGATAATACTAAAATAAAGAATATCTGTATAACATAAACCCTAGTATGGCACCCTGAATGAAAAGTTTCCTTAAAAAACAAGTGCAGGGTGAAACGTTTACTGTCATTATTCTCTATTGAATTGTTCAATATTGCTTTGTAGTCAAATAGTAAACTAAATAAAGGGACCTGCTTATAGATGAGAAAAACAGGCTTCTGTGGCTGCTGTATGGAGCAAAGTAATCCTACTATTTTCTGGGTCCTCCTGTACTGGTCTGGCCATTTCAGCAGGGAGGAGGGGGGTGGCCTGAGGAAGAGAGGAGACCACAATCTGTAGCAATCATAAAGATAAAAAAAATTTCCCCAGCCAAGTGGACTATTTCTTCATGTTTGGGTGCAGGTGTAGTAATCTCCTGTGCCAGACAAGTACATTACAGTCCCGTCCTGTCTAGCGAATTGGTATAGAAGAGGCCAGGTGTTGGGACTGTAATGTCCTTACCTGGCACAGAAGATTACTACACCTGCACCTGAAAGTGAAGAAACAGTCTGCTTCATTTCTGCTGCAAAGTAAGATGTATGGCAGCCTTGTTGTCTTGCATTAGGTGCAACCTGAGACAACCATGTTCATGTTGTGTCAGGTTCAAGTCCAGGCTCCTTCTGGGGATTCCTCTGACTGGGATGACTGTGTGTGCAGGGAGGGAGTCTTCAATCTGAAAGGTGTGGAGGTGCCAAAATCTTTCATTAACAATTGCTACACGGGGATGTTTCTTTGCTGGATTGGGCTGTCTCTTTGCCAGATTGGGCTGTCTCTTTGCTGGATTGGGCTGTCTCTTTGTTGGATATTTAGGGCTCTCTTTTTCCTGGATTGGAATGTCTCTTTGCTGAATATATGGGGTGTCTTGTTGCTGAATATATGGGGAGGTCTCTTTGCTGGATTGGACCAGCTCTTTGTTGGATTGGGCCATCTATTTTCTGAATATATAGGGTGTCTGTTTGCTGGATTGGGGTGTCTCTTTGCTGAATATATGTGGATGTCTCTTTGCTGGATTAGCCTGTCTCTTTGCTGATGCAGGCACTGATGACTTGGAATACACTTTTAATTTTCATATATTTAGTTGTAAGAGTGTTAAAATGAAAGTTAGTGCACTGAAGGCCAGTGGAATATATAGGGATGCAAGCACTGATGACTTGGAATACACTTTTAATTTTCATATATTTAGTTGTAATGTATATGTTGGTGGTCAGGCCTGGGGGGGGGGGGGGGGGCAGGTCTAAAGCTGTGTAAGGGGCTCCAAAATTTCTGAGTGATAGAAAAAGCTAAAACTAATTTTCCTCCTTATTCGCACAATCTCTGCATTTTTAAGTACAAGCCTCGCTATAGTATTATCACTCTGAACACAGTTTGTTATCCGCTTGACAATGACAAACCTGTTTGAGCTGTACAACTAATAGATGCCGCGTACATGCAGATTTGTAGATTATTGATGTTTAACAAGTTTCAGACATGCTTCTTTTGCCTGTCCCAGCATGCCCTAGCAGTGGTTTTTGTAATGGAGATATTTCTCTTTCACTAATTTCTGTGAGGGTAAATGAACAGCATTTCTAAAATTCTGATTATCATAGATATTTCCATGTTATCACTATGCATTACTTAAAAGAGAAGTATGGGTTTTAGAGAAAAAAAACATTTATACTCACCTAGGTGGATCAGTGCTGCGTCTGTG